GAGACATTTCCCAACGAGAGTTGAGCCCGACTTCTCTGCGGGTGATCCACAACCGAGAAAGTCCGTCGGAAAAGGGAGTAGAGGGATAAGTTCCCTGAACTCAAAATCTGTTCATTCATACCATCATGTTACTCACGCTTTTTTTAGTTTTAGTAGATGTTTTACGGCGCTCGCAACTGCATAAGGTCATATGAGCGCCAAGGGGTGGATGTCAACAGGGAGGAGTCCTTACAGGGAATCAGTCTTACTCTGCTCACCTCTCTAGCTTCTACAGCACAAAGTCTGCTTCGATTATCAAGGCACCCCAGAAATAGCGGGTCACAAGAGTGTGACAAACATACAAAAGAAGTAGAGGGAAAATGACAGTAGTAAGGATTAGGAAAGAAAAAGAGGCAGTTCCCTGTTGCAGGTCAGGCACAGTTATGAGCGTGACATTGATGAATCAGCCCTTTAACAATTACAATTCTTCTGTGCTTAAGAACTCGAAATGTTAATGAACCCCCCTTTGGGAATGGCCTTAAGACACTTCAGTCTGCAGCACCACCCCGGGGGATACTCACGCTTTATTAATTGACAATAAAGTACACCGCACGCCAGTTCAGCTGGCTATCAGCATTACTCGGTTATTTACAGACATAACAAACATACACCAAACTTGAACAATTTGATGTTCTCATTAATAATATTGTGATAAATACTGTTTGGATCACTCGTTTCTACTCAGTTTATTGTTTATTTTATGAAGAATGATTAATGGGAAAATGAGTTATAGAGAAGTACGTGACACCGGGAAATTGGATGTCAAATGACTGCCAACAAAGTTGAGCAAACTCAAAACTATGGCACTCTCGCCATCGTTCTTACTCGCCGTCCACACAAAAAGACACCTTCACATTGGGCTGTGCCCATTCCACTTTGCTATTCAACATTCTCGATATCTATTCGAAACTTGGCAAAGTCATTCGAATACCATGTGGTTTTTACGGACAATGAGTTATAGTCTCCTTTTTCTAAACCTGCCTTAATATTTAAAAGCATAATATAATTTTGTCTAAAATCTTTGAGGAAAATACAGAAATACTTTATACTTGATGATAGTGAGACAGATTGATTAATGAATAGCGCTCTAAAGAGTGAATAAAAAGCCGCGAATGTAGCTGATGGATTTACTTATTATACAATAGAAATATAAGAAAACACTCGCACTGGTATTCGAACAGTGCAAACAGCGACTTCGAAGCTCCACTGGAATTTCGTTTCCTCAAACTCGCACAGTTTTAATTCACACGTTTGACATCACTGGCAATCTGTCAAGCCCCATTAGATGGTAACCTCTTTCGTATTAATGAAGAAGCCCTACCACCTAATAGTGACGGACTTTGTAAAGCTGCTCTTGCACTGTTCAAATTTTCCTGACTGAAATGAAGAATCATTATAAAGTAGTAGTGAATGGCGTGTGTGAGTGTGTTTGTGTGTGTGTGTGTGTGTGTGTGTGTGTGTGTGTGAGTTTAAGTTAGTGAGGTTTTGTTTCTTGTATTGTGTGAGTGTGTGTGTGTGTGTGTGTGTCTTTGTGATAGGATGT